CCCGCTCAGATCTAGAGAGCTCCGGGCCGGCCGTTTTTCTACTACGGCCGGCCCGGCGGCAGTTAATAATAAATTTAATGGTGCTCCATAGGATGTACAAAGTTCTGGATATTTTTTTATTTCTTTTTAATAACCCAATCCTGATCTGTACTTCTCAACTTTGTCCCTGACCTGTTTGGAGAGCTCCTTGGTCTTTATGTTGCTCCTTGCTCAGTGGTGTTGCAGACTCTGGAGCATTTTAGAACAGTGTGTACACACGAAGATCATGTGACACTTAGATTGCATACAGGTGGTCTTTAACTTCAAATTATGTGACTTCTGAAGGTAATTGGTTGCACCAGATCCTGTGTAGGGGCTTCATAGCATACATATGCACGCGCCCCTTTTCCGTTTGTTTTTTTTTCTTGAATTTTTAAAACAAGTTATTTTCTTGATTTCATATTACCATTTTGGACTATTTTGTATATGTCCATTACATGTAATCCAAATAAAAAATCCATTTTAATTCCAAGTGGTAATGCAACAAAATAGAAAAAATGCCAAGCCACTGTATATTTTTACTTCAATCTTGGTGAGCTTCGTGCATTTCTTTATGATCTGTGCAGTAGTACAGTATGAAATTTTACCCTGTGCAGGAGCTTCCTGTAATAAAGACCGGTCACTGCTGCTCCCTATCCTTGTGCAGGGTGACTGGTCTGGTCTCTGCCCCCTCCTGTAATAAAGACCAGTCACTGCTGATCCCCTCTCCTTGTGCAGGGTGACCGGTCTTGTCTCCGTCCCCTTCAGTAGTTTTCTGCAGGCAGTCTGTAGCAGGTGGACGTGTTCAGTCTCTCCCACAGCTCTGCTCTCTATAAAGGGTATGTGCAGCACACAGATGTCACCACAGGATAATTACTGAACACTCCCAAATCAATAAACCTCAATTTCAAATGCATTTGATGCGCACAAAGCAGATTTATACTCTTTGAGGAATATATGTGAATGTTTTTATTCCCAGAGTTCAGCTTTCACCCATTCACACCACCAATCTGTGGATTAAAGTGGACCTTTACCCCCTTTTTTTGTAGTTCTGCATGCTGATATGAAATCATCTTACATTGATTATTTAAAAAAAACATTTTTCTTTTACTTACAATTATTGCTTTTTCCACTTCCTGGTCCTCTTGGGCACTAGTGATGTAATGTGCCCAAGCGTTGCATCCTGGGAAGGTTACATCAGCAGAGCATTGTTGGGAAATTTCCTCTCTAATCTCACGAGATCTCAGGGAAAGGCATTGTCCTCCCCTGAGATGATGTGCATGGTCACATGTCCTACTCACATGTGCCAGAGATCCAGGAAGTAAAAGGGAGATATATTAATCTGCCCTTAGTAAAAACAGCCACTGTGAGAAGAATTGGGAGGAAACAAAATAAAATAAGACATGCAAAGAAAAAAAAAAAAAGGGCATTATCTGGGGAAGTATCTGTTTGTAGATTGTCATTACTAAACATTCCTAAGGGTGTATTTGTTGTCATTTCAAAGATCTGGGTAAAGTTCCTCTTTAAGTCACCTTTCAAATTACTTGAAATACACGAGAATAGCTTGAATGAACTTGGAAAAAACAAACAAACAAACAAACAAACATGCTCACCAAAAATATATTATACTTGGTCTTTAGATTGGAAAAAGTTTGAGGTTCTGTAAAATATAACCCAACAATGAACAGAAGCGCAAGAGAGCATCTTACTACTGGTGTCTAACTATTCAGGAACCAAAACAGGAAATCTTAAGGTTATTTGAATTCATTAGGCAACCTATCGTAGTCCGGGTGATAAATGACATATTTTAGGGAAACAGGAGTATGCCAAGGCCAACGTTTAGAAGGCAGGCTAGAGAAGCAATAAAAACTGGAGCATGTTAAGCGAGTGCATTGAACGTTGGCTTCCTGTACGGAAGAGCAGGTGGTTTGTCCAGTTGAAGTAACAGATGCGGCCTGTGTGATAACTGGAATCCTGACAAGGACGACACGCCGGCGGTTTAATGCATGAACTTACGTTGAATGTGAATGAACTGCTTGGGCTGTTTAAATTCTCCTTTGTACAGGCGACTGTAGTAGTGGACGTTGCTCTCGGCCTCAGGAACGGGAATAACCATGCTCTCTTTCTTTTCTCTAAAAACCTGTTGTGCCGAGATAGCTCGTTGTAAATGGTGTTCCTGCAAAAGAAATTAAGAGGTTCAAGGTGCCATTCAAGCCATTAGAAAAATCGCAGTACATTATTAATCCGCTTCCCGCTCCCAAACCATTTATGTAAAAAGTAAAGCTGGACAAACACCTCAAGAGTCATTGCACTCGCATTCATTGCAGACACGCTCCATGCTATACTGGCAGCCAGTGCCCACAGCTAACAGATACCTGAATAGTGAAAGCAGCTGATTGGCTACAGTCACTGATTGGCAGACATTACTCCACCCAGCTGGCTACAGTCACTGATAGGCTGACATTACTCCACCCAGCTGGCTACAGTCACTGATTGGCTGATATTTCACCACCCGGCTCCCATGACAAGTCAATTGAAAACCAGAATTTTGCCGAGCCGGATATTGCCAGCAGGGCCACCAACAAATCAAATTTTAGCAGATTCAGCAGCAAACGGACAAAATTCAATCCAGTGTTTATAAAAAAAAAAAAAAAAACCCCAGCCCCTGCTTTTCATTGGGTTTCTTACAGATATGAGCTGTGCACACCTAATCTGGCTGGTTATGGTCAGATAAGAAATAAAGGTCGTATGCCTGTAGGTAATCCCTGACCTCTCCAAATAAACCTCAGCTGAAGCTACTCTAGGGAAGAAATAATTGATCGTGTTGGATTTTTACGGATGACTGCTGCCATTTTCCTCCGATATAAGCTGGCACCAGGGATATCATTTGGTTCTCCTCCCCTTCCTCTTTCAGCTGCATAAACATGCACACATGGCACATTTTATATGAAAATCTTTTGATTGCTAGACTATTGCCGGCACAGTCCGAGTGTACAGCACCAAACAGTGCTAGCTAGGGAGCTACTTTGCAGGAGTTAATAAACAAATGCACTTTTAAAACAAAATGCAGTTATCCCTTTTGTTCCCCTTCACGAGCCTAACCTAGCCCTACCTCCACAGTTGCATACTTGCCCTAATCCAGCGCCCAAAGTCTTTGCTGTTTGTTTACATCCTGTGCTGAAAGTCTTGCGAGCAATGGGCTTGTCTGTGCAATAGATCCTCAGACCTCTATGGGTCCCTCACCTAAGTATTTCTATCCCTGAGACGGGGGGGAGGCAGTCAGCTTCAGAATTTTTTTTTATCTGGCCCAATGGAAAGCGGTAGCATTGGTGACATAATGCAAAAATACCCGAAAACACTTAAAATCGCTTGTGACGCGTGTTTTAAAGGCTAGTTCACACCAAGCGCAAAGCAGGTGCAGAGCAGTTACAGAACGAATCAAAACTGCGTCCAATATATTCCAATGGTATTTTGGGCTCTAGTTCACATCGCAGCGTTCAGTTCCAGATCATGTAAAAAAAACGGCAGCAAGCCCTATTGTTTCTGCTCTGGAACGCATCAAAAGCACATGCAAACACCCTGGAACGCACTAAAATCTAATTTTAGGCAAAAAAATATTAAATTTTTTTACAAAAGCGGCCCAGAACGCGTCAAAAACACAATGCACTGCAGAAAATCATGCAGATCTGGTCTGCATATGGTGTGAACAAGCCCCAAGGCATTTCCACTTTAGTCTAAGGGGACAAAAATCTGCATTTAAAGAAGCTCATGTTTCATGCTACAGGCGTCTTTCTACAAGCGACAGAACGCTCAGGTGTGAACTAGCGCCCCAAAAAAACAATGGGATTCCTTGAGTTAGGCAAACAGGATACTCATGGCCCTAGCTGGTATAAAATTGAGCCAAGCTGAACCAATGTAAGTATACATAAAATATGTACACCTGAGGTCAGCTTTAATTGTATCTACATGAGGAGAGCAAGGAGAGAAAAGTTTGAAGGCGAGGAGTCCTTGCTGACATTTCCTTCGGAAAGCATTACATTTTCTAGATGTCATACTGATCCAAAGGCTTCAACACGTCCTGAGCACCTGACCCAAGTATGCAGATTAGTTTTGACTAGGAATGCACCGATGGCAATTCTGAGCATTTGGGCGAGTACTCGTACTCACCAAAATGCTTCAATACTTACCCCAATACAAGAACTGTGGTCAGAGGAAGATTCTCTCTGACCGGCAGTGCCACGAGGGAGCATGCACCCGGCTTCCCGGGCCAATCACAAAGCTGGGTGGTGGGTCATGAGCCGCCTCCCCGATTGGCTAGGAAGCCGGCTTCAACTGCGAGGCAGCCTGGCTCCCCGACCACTCAGGAAGCTGGGCGACAGGTCACGACACTGCAAGGCTTTCCGATTGGTCAGGTAGCCAAGGCTGCCTCAGAGTGTCACAAGGGAGCATAAATCAGGCTTCCTAGCCAAACAAGAAGGCTACAGTCACTGATAGGCTGACATTACTCCACCCAGCTGGCTACAGTCACTGGATGGGTCACGAAACCAGGCTGCGTCGCAGTGTGAAGGCCGGATAATTATATATATATAAAAATCAGTACTCGCTACCAAAAAAACGGTATCGGTGCATCCCTAGCTTTGACTATGGTCCCATGCTTGCCCTGAGTCAGCGTCTCAAAGCATTAAAGTCAGAAGCAGCATTTTCAGAAGATAGCAGCCTATGCATTGCTCATCGTACATAGAAACGTCCGTCTGCTTATAAAACATGCTGCAAGCTATTCAGAGAAGCGGAGGAGGGCTTCCACACACAGATATTATGTGGATACATATTACTGACAGAGCAATATAAAATTAAACACTTTCCCGTTTTATCTGTGAAAAAGCAAGCGGCATCTGACGTGAAATATCCAGCAATTCCCTGGAAGCAGTGTGATGGCGGGCCGCATCGCATGGGTCTGGCAGCCACTTAAATAATCTTCTCTTAAAGCACGGCACGTCCCCGCTCCCCTCCCCCACCCCGATAGCTCCGAGCAGCCAGCAATTTCAGCACCACAATCGCTCACCAATGGCAGCAACATTTCTTCTTACAATTTCTCTTTAAATTATGTACACGGAGTTTTTATGACTTAATGAAATCTAAATGACTGTTTTTGTCTCCAACACATTAAGCATCCATCTGTTATTGGATCTGTTCTCAGACTGCACGGGGAAGGGAATATTCTGCCATTAGATTGCCTTGTAGATGGAGACATCACTTTGCTCGACCACAGAGGAGAAACAAAGGTTTGCAAAGATCGGAGCCAGGGACGTGACGAAGCCTCTTCCTCTGAAGGAGGATTCAAATGAAAAGGACAATTCCAGGCGGCAAATAAATATCAACTAACAGCACGCTCGTTTCCAGGAAACTCTGCAAATGTGGTAAACCCAGAAATTTCACCCAATTGAATTCAATCTTTCATTAGAACATAATCCAGTCCTCCCAGAATCATCTGGTTTTTAACCATTTCAGAGCGAGGGAAGCCCCTCATTAAGACTCTGCCAGGTATAACTGGACAAATCCCAGGAGCCAGGTCGCCAATATTCCTTAAAAATGACAGCTGGCGCCCAACCTTCGAGGTTTTCTGTAGTTGTTGCCAATGGAGCTGATTGGCTCCTGGATTTCATATTAATTGTACCACCCCTGCATTATCCCTCATGCACCAATGTGTGTGCTTAGACATGGCAGTGCCAGAATCCATGAAGACACTTCTAGGCAATTTCACAACTGCAGATTCAGCAGAATTCAGAAGATTAACATTGTACAGCGCTGCACAAACTGTTGGCGCTATACAAAATCCTGAATAATAATACAAATAATAGGGTTAGTGGAAACTATAGGGAACAGCAGCAAGGGATATAAGCCTGCAGGCTCCCATCCTGTGTGTGTTCATCTTGATGCAATCAGCAGACTCGGGTAGACCTTCTTACATGCGCAGAAAGCTTTGGTCGGAGAATTTCACACAGCAGCTCCCTTTATGTTGCCGTATACATGCGCAGGAGTGAACGGGCTCATATCAGATGTGAACCAGCTGCATAGGACAGAATAGGATTACTCCATTTGAAAAGCATTTTACTGCAGCAAAATACATGGTCAATACGGACAAGTGTGAATAGGTAGCTGTGAAAGCGCTCCCTCTTACCTCCCTGGTCTCTTCTTCCGCTGAAGCAATTGTATGTACCTCAGTGTCCCCACATCCTATACAGTGTATAGAACGTAATTACTCAGGGACCTTAGAATCACTGCAAGGGTGGGGGAGGGAGGCTGCATGGGCCGGTCTAACAGCAAGCTGGCACAGAGGATCGTGCGACTTTATTTTCTTCCCTAGACCAAAATGAGCACTTAAAGTGACATTAAAGGATAATCCCTCCCCCCCCTCCAATGTTAGTGTCAGGACTTACCTTAAATGATGTCTCTTAATCCGATCATCTTCTTTTGTGTAGTTTTTAGCTGTCCCTCCAGCGCTGGTGCGGGTCTCCAATCCAGCGCTGACACCCCAGTCCTCCTCTCATGGAGTCCGAGTCCTGCTCCATAGACTTACCTTCCGTCATGCGTGCGCCCGTCCCAAGTTCCCTTGCGGCTGCCTGAGACTCTTCAGATGTGCGGACGGGAGCGCGCAGCGGAGACACAGGTAAGTTTAAACCTGTTTGAAAAGTTGTTTTTCTTTACGCTTTTTCATATATCTACTGCTTGCCTAGCCGTAGATCTATGCAAAAACATGCGAGGGCTTAACAACCCTTTAGGCCCCATTCACACCTAGGCGTATTGTAATATGCGCGTCTGTCGCGCGACCGTCACGCGTTTTTTTTACCGCGATTCGCAGTAAAAAAGTCGCGCGACCGTCGCGCGATTCCAAAGGCTACTTGGCTGAATCCAAATGGAAAACGCCCTACAAAACGGCCCAAAGTAGTCCCGGGACCTTTTCAGGCGTGGGCCGTTTTGTAGGGCGTTAGGGACGGGCGGAAATACGCCTAGGTGGGAACGAGGGCATTGACTACAATGCTATTTATTTTTTTGACCGTTTTGTAGCGCGTTCGTCGAGCGTAGGACGCACTACAAAACGGTCAGGTGTGAATGGGGCCTTAAGCCTTGCAGTGCAGGGGTAGCACCATGCAAGGGTTAATTGTAAAAAATGTACCC